TCCCGCTCCTAGGACATCCAATGTTAAAGGGAGTATACAAAATTACATGTTAATACACAGAAGCATAGGGAGCAATGGGGAGTATTCGTATACTCCCAAGGGAGTACTCACCGAACAATCGTACGATGCTCCCAAGTTCTACTGGGTACANGGAGGTAAAAGGGATTACTCCCGCTCCTAGGACATCCAATGTTAAAGGGAGTATACAAAATTACATGTTAATACACAGAAGCATAGGGAGCAATGGGGAGTATTCGTATACTCCCAAGGGAGTACTCACCGAACAATCGTACGATGCTCCCAAGTTCTACTGGGTATGTATGTAGGTGTATGTAAGCCGAAAATAACATTTGATACACAATTCTTTCGTGCATGGAAATGTGATTTACCGCTTTACTGGCATAACTCAATAGCGGTATTCATGATCCGGTGCATACTCTCTAGCATGGTGCATAGATAGCATAAATAGCATGATTGGCTAACTTTGTTGTTGTTTGAACACATGACCGTGCTAGTCAGTATGCACCGAATCGTGAATACCCCTAATGTGTTTCGCGGTGTTTTGTGGTGGCACGCGAAAAGTTTAGTGGGAAAACAAAAAACGAACTGCATAGGAAACGCCACTGCACACAACGGAAGTGGAAATTAAACTGCGGCAGTCAGTGTGCTGGCGAACGCCTTCGAAGACACAACGAATTGGTTTCAGCGGCAGCCACGACGCACGCCAGCATGAGTGTCCGCATTACCCCGCCGAGTGTTACCAAAAAAGCCGACGACGGAGAAGAAGAGGGGGCGGTGCGCGCGGAATTGCCCTACAATTTCGAAAAGGAACTTATAGAAAATCAAAATCGTCATTTTTGTGGACATTACACATTTGTGCCGTGCGGTAGAGGTAAGAGGTATAAGATAGCACAACGAATTCACTTTTTTTCTAAAATTTGTTTGTTTGTTTTAGTTGAACCGCTTGCGACAAAATTTTATGCTCGACATGATCAAAACACTTTGGACTATGAAAAGTATGTGGAATTGGTGGCGCAACGTGGCAGCAGGCGTGGCAGGGGTATATTACCTCATCTATCCGGGGAAATCTACGGTTGGCTGCCTGCAGATTTAGGTGACAGTCTGAGGGAATTAAATTTTATCTGCGCACCGAAAATTCGCACCGATATGACAATACACGGTGAAAAGGTAGTCAGCGAACGTGTAACGGAACGACCAGCCTTTAACGGTTTACGTTTTGTTGTGTAATTTAAATTGGAGAACTATATACATATATACATACATACATTAATAGATATATATGTAAATATATATACATATGTAGGTACATATGTATACAAAATTAAGTGAATTTATTCGTTGCCTATAAATAAGGTAATTTTTTATTTTATCACTACGGTGACCATATTTATGGGAGCCTAATATGGGACAAAAAGTCAGGGACCGAAAATAACAATTACTTTTTGTCGATGTTATAAAATTCCGGTGAAAAGTATTGTGGTAGAAGAATGTTATCTATGTTCTTTTGATCCCAGGACTTCCTGGACGTGAATCCTGGATTCTTTTGATTTTTTTGTTAAATTTTCCGAAAGATTCCAATAATAATAATAATAATAGATAGGCGCTCACACATATTTTCGGGTTTGGCCGAGCTTCTCCTCCGATTTGTGGAGTGCGCCTTGATGTTGTCACAAAAATGGGAGGGACCTATAGTTTTACGCCGACTCCGAGAACGGCGATTACATTTTTATGCGAAACGGTAGCGCGCACTGCTAATCACTTAACCACAGCGGCCTCCGATAATAAACATTACAAAAAAAACAATAGCTAAAAACCTTGCTTAATTGTCTAGTCCTAATTTGTATTTTGGTTACTGTATGTAGTCTTCGATTCGAATCACAAGCAAATAGTAACTGTTTATGGGGTAAATTACTATTATACATATACCAACATCACTTAAAACTCGTTCATATACACGAAATTTTAAAGAGCTGTTAAGGCGTCGAAATACCGTACACCGAAAACGGGACAAACACAGGGCATTCAAAGAAATGCAGAACATTTGGCATCCCATATAAAATAAATAAATTGTCAGGGTAATGGGTTGAAAAAGAGGACAGAGCCGTACAATACAGGCCGGGTGGTCACCGTACCTATCACCCTACCTCACTACATTTTATGTATGCATGTATTTATATATGAATCTAGCCTCCTACATTCCAAACTCGATAGCTTTTGTCACGCAAACATTAGAAGCCACAGTTACCGCATTTATTTCTACTTGATGGGCAACATTTACCCAAAAAGTTATAATTTTTATATGTTGACAAGCATAGTTACAGGAGTATAAGCATTTCATTTTGAAAGAGGTAGGGATTTCCACTCATGCTAGTATGCTAGGGACAGCATGACATGATTGTTATCCACATACATACATACATATGTACATATATTATTATTTATTGTGGCCTATTATGTAGTTAAAACAAAAAGGAATTCAAAACTGTCAGGATGTTTGAAAAACATAGCGCAAGGTTACCGTTTAAGCAAATTTCCGACAAAACGATACCTCAGGCATGTTTTGATTTTCACATTAATAGGTTTGTTTTTTACATTTTCGGTGAGACGCAATGGAAACTTAAAATGAAAATATCTTGCGAAAATGACCTGATATAGAAGAACGGTATACAGGGCCGTAATCTACGACCCAAAATTAAGGTTTCGGTGTTTTTTGTGTCATTTTAGCATACCTACAGTGTAATTAGCATTTGTGAGTTAAGCTAACGTAAAAAAAAAATAAAAAATGAATTTCATTAGTTTCTCTTCATGAAAAATGCTTCACTTGCAAACAAATTTGGGCATTTGTGATTTTTTGTGAAAAATAATAAACAATATTTGGCAATTTAGAGACGAAATAATTTGTGAAAATAAAAAAAATAATAAAATTAGCTGATCTACTGATACTACCTTGGGTTAGGCCAATAGGTTAGGTCGAAATGAATTAAAAAAATTTCCATAATTTCCTAAATCGAGCTAGCAAGTATGCTGACGCTTTTCACAGTGTAGTCTACAATGAATCTTAGTTACTGCGTCTTATGTAAAACTTAAGCGAAATAGATGATAATTGTAAAACAAAACAAATATAATGTTTAGTAGTACTAAGATCAATATTAAAAAAAAAAAAGTTTTAGGAATGCATTTATTTCAAAAAGTTTAAAGAATTATAAAGAAATTGTTTGTACGGGGCCTAGTACGAATATAATTTTTATAAATTTAAATTTTTACCACTTTTATAGGGAAAAGTTGATGCGGATTCTCATTTCTGCACACCCATTCACTGATACTTCTTGAAAGTCTAATACTCCGGGTATGGGCTTCGTTGATATCCAGAGATGAAAATGATTGACAACGTTTAATCAAATACAAATTCAAATACATAATTTCCACTGAAGAAACGCTGAACCATTTTTTTGATGTTGTTGTAAAAAATATGTATGACATAAGTAAAATCTGGCGAAAAATTGATTTATGTGGTAATTTTATATCTAAAAAACATTTCCACTGAGAAATTCGTCCGGAAAAGTATTTAAATTTTTTCCTAGAATGATCGAGCAGGAAATTTCGCTATGGGTTACCGCAGATTAAAATATTGTGAATTAAAAGGGAAGAGTAAATATACATACATATATACATATTTTTTCCCAAAAAGAGGAAACTTTAAACCTCGCTGAAAAACTTTGAGAAGAGATGGAGCAAAATCTTTTCACCTATACATAAATACTAACTATAGACATTATTTAGTTGAGGCCCAAATGTGGCATTCGTGGACCTTATGTGGAAAATTGCCGCAAGATAACTTTTATATAGTACCATATTGAATGCTAATTTAAATTTTCTAAAAGGTTTGACTATTCGCTGCTGGGAACGCAGGCACAAGTGAGGAAATGTTTGTATAAAAGCTGTTAGGAAATTATGTGCTTTTTCAGTTAGGCCGCTGTCTTCACTGAGGCAACAACTAAGAGTGCATCGATATTAAACAAATTCATCAATTCAGTGTTGTTGATGGACGTGGTGGTGTTAAAAACAGTTTCACCAGCAATTCCGGTGGGCGTTAGATTGTCATAAAAATATAAACACGTGCGCACATTTGTTGTTAGCGTCTCCATAAACGGCCAAAAGACAATTGAGTGTGGCAGCATTGTTTGCCTACAAAGTGCAATTAATTAGCTGGACGAAATCAAAACAAACTTCGATTATTCGCGTTACTCAATCGCCAATCTGTATGCGATGTTGCAATTTATACTTGTGGCTGCTTTATTATTGTTATTGGTATGCACGATTATTTGGTGGCAGCGGAATGCCTGGTTGCTGGTGTGGCGCCTAAATGGCTGGCGTGGTTTGGTGCAACAACCATATTTATGGTTTATACTCCTTTTCTATTTGGAGCCAAAGAGTTGAGTGAAAATTTGAAAGAACATACATACATATACACGGATAGATTGATGCCATATTTATGGTAAATTTGACGAATTTTTGGAAATAGCGATTGAAGTTTGGAAAGGCGACAATAGATTTTGTCCAAAGTTTGAGTGGTGTTGGCCGTATATAAGTAAAAAATTACACTAACAAATTATACGC